AAGGAGATACACTTACGTATATATTATTTTTATTTATTCATTTCTTTTTTTTTTTTTTCTTTTTTTTTTTTGTGTGTGTGTGTGCGTTTGTAATTAGATTTTTAATAGTTATTATATTTTCTTAGAACTGCAATTTTATATGCTTATACGTTTAAACATATGTTCAATATTTATTTATTTATTCTATACATATATATTTTATTTTTTGGTATAATTAAATTAAATACTTTTTTTTTATATTAACAGATATATTATATATTGTAATTATTATTATTCAATATAATAATAAATAAGATAACAGAAAAAATAATATTATAAATACATTCTTATTCTTAAAATGTTTAAAGATTTTCATAATGTTATGATTACATTTCCCCCCTATTAAAATATGGAGGTTTGCTTATATATATATATATATATATATTGATGTTATATATTAATCTTCAAATGTTCATATTCTATGTCATTTTATATTCACTATTTAATAAGTTGTAAAAGAATACACAATATATATATTGTTCTTCATAAAACATATATAAAATAAAGAAATAAAAAATAATATAAAATAAAGGATGATATATAAAAAAATAACGTAACGTATATATTAATTTTTTTTTTTTTTAATTTGGAATATTTTATGTAATAATAGTTTTTTCTTATGTAAGTGTATAGAATCATAATTTTTTTTTTTATTAAAATTTATTCTAAATATATACAAATATATTCATTTCCTTTTTATTCTTATGTAATTTACCCAAGAAATAATATGATTATATATTCGCATGTATACATTGTTATTTTCAATTTTAAAATATAAATTGTGATCTTCATTTATTCCTTCTTTATTATTATTTCCATTTATGTTTATATTAGAAATGTACATGAACAGAAGATATTCATATTATAAAATTAATGAATTATAAGTTGAGGCTACTTAGTCTAGTGGTATGATTCTCTCTTAGGGTGGGAGAGGTCCCGGGTTCGATTCCCGGAGTAGCCCACTTTAAAATTTTTAAAAGAAAATATCCTTAATAAATAAGGAAAGCAATTTTTATATTTTATAAATAAATTTCAGCACTACTTTTTCATTAAATATAAAATGCATGAATAGTCATTATTTTGGATATAGCACATAAATTTTTAAAATATTAAAAATTAATTTATATTTTTTTTTAACCTAAAACAGAAAAAAATATATTACAAAGTATTTAGTACAACTTTATTTATACTTATATTTTTTTAAAGTATAAAAAGAAATATATCTTTACAAAACATAATATTTCATTTAAAAATAAGAATTTATTGTATCATGAATAAAAATATAACTATAGTTTGTTATCATCTTTTTTATGCGTAAAAAAGAAAATACCTTAATTTATATAGAAGAGTACCATTTTATATGCATTCATTAAAAATATGATTATTCTTATTATATCCTTAACTTCATTTATAATGAATGTATAAATTGTTTTTGAATTAAATTTAATTCCTTTTACATAATTTCTGTACATTAGTTCCTTTTGAAATGTATAGAATATTCCTTCATATTTTAAAACCTTAAAATAAAAAAATGTCTTCATTTAAATATTTTTATATATACATACAAGAAATAATATATTGTTTCTTTTAATTTAAGTATTTATATTTATACATTATAGCTTTAACGAAGGAAATTAAACAATCAGAATAACCGTTTTTATTTTTATTAAATTCATTAAATGAAAATATTTTTTGATATTAAAATGAATAAAAAATAACATACTAGGTTCTATAATATTTAAAATAATGATATATATTAATTTAATATATAAAAAAAAAAAAATATGCTTATGATATTTTAAATTCATAAAAAGAATATTTTTTAATATATTATATCTATATATTTATATACATATCATTATAATAAATAATTATAAGAATCCATATATATTTAATAAAGAAAAAAAAATTTCCTTAATTTTATGCTTAAATATAATATATATAAATTATTAATTGAAGAAACGAAAATTTTATAAATATTTATATATATTTAAATATGTATATATATTTTTTTTTATAAAAGTATATTCAAACCTTTTTTTTTTTATTCTTTAATTCATTTATAAATATATATATTTTATACATATGTATATTAAAAAAATATATATTTATTTTAAACATAAAAAATATGAATATTAAATTTTAGTAAAATAACATTATTGACTCGTTCATACTACAGTGGCCACACCAGATCCCATCAGAACTCTGAAGTTAAGCACTGTAAGGCTTGGCTAGTACTGAGGTGGGAGACCGCTCGGGAACACCAAGTGACGAGTCATTTTTTTTATATAAAAGTGCTTTTTGTTATTTATTATAATATATATATAATGATATATAATTAAAAAAAAAATAATTAATAAAATTATTAATAAAAAGTAACTTTCTAATTTTAATTTTTTTTTTTTTAAAATAGTAATATAAATAAAAATTATATGATTATTATTAGAAAAAAAAAATTGTTTCCTTAATCCATTCTATATGAAAGTAATACGGGACCCATACAATAGCATATAAGGTTTCTATTAACCTAATACTATATTCCTCCAAATAATATACCATATGTAAATAATATAAGATAATAACATAGAAAATTTTAAATACTTTCTTTTTTTTTTTTTATTGAAATAATATTTCCAATAAATTTAAAGAATACTATGTTTTTTAAAATGTATATGTATTAAGAATACAAAATAATTATGTTAATATTAAAAAAGAAATGAGAAAGGAAACGTTTTATTAAATATTTTAATGTAGAATGTTTTTATATATGATTATTTTTAAATAAATATGAATATTAAATTTTAGTGAAGTTAAAATACTGACTCGTTCATACTACAGTGGCCACACCAGATCCCATCAGAACTCTGAAGTTAAGCACTGTAAGGCTTGGCTAGTACTGAGGTGGGAGACCGCTCGGGAACACCAGGTGATGAGTCATTTTTTATTTTTATAATAAAGTTTTTTTAATTTTATTTTTATAGAAAAAAAAAAATATATATTATTATAAATAAATAGTATTTTCTTTCATTTTAATAAAATTTTAAGATCAACGGTAATATGAAGAATTTTAAAATTTATCATATATTTATATTTATTGGGTTTTTGTAAGCATTAAAAAAGTGGGAATCATATTTTTTTCTTTTTTTTATTCATGTATATATATATATATATATATACCTATATATGTATATAGTATGTTTTAAATAAATACTTTAAGAATATGAAAAATTACAATTTTTTTTTCTGTAGTACTATTTTTTTGGAATATTATATTTTTTCTATAAAAAAAAAAAAAAATTATATACTTTTAATTATATAAAATTAAATATTTTATAGTATTGGTTAAAAAGGTGAAAAGAAAAGTCCATAAAAAATAAATATGAATTTTAAATACATGATATTAAATATATCTTATTTTTTAATAAATACAAATATAATAAATATATATATTTTTTTTTTTCTGATTTGTATGTATAAGAGAAAATAAGTATTTATTAATTTATAAATTTTATTATAACATGTTAGAATTTATAAATAAAAAAGTGTATATTCTTAATATGGTAAATAAAAGAATGTTCATTTTCATATACAATATTTATTCTTTAAAGAAAATGTTTTTTTTTTCGTAAAATTATATATATGATATATATATTTATTCAATTTTACGGTCTTTATTTTTTTTATTTTTGTACTATTATAAAAAAAAGACTTTTCATTTTAATATGGAATTTAGGGTATATAATAATTTTGACTCGTTCATACTACAGTGGCCACACCAGATCCCATCAGAACTCTGAAGTTAAGCACTGTAAGGCTTGGCTAGTACTGAGGTGGGAGACCGCTCGGGAACACCAAGTGACGAGTCATTTTTTTTATATTTATAAAAATATAAAATTTATAATTTTTTCTTATATAAAAAAAAAAATAAAATATATATTATATACATATAATAATTACAGTTTATTTAAAAAATAAATATATTGTTTTTATTTTATTTATTTAAAATTCAATTTACAATTTTTTACAATTTTTTAGAATTTCCTTTTTTTTTTTTTTTTTTAAATTTAAAATATCACATGATTTTTATATTAATAAAATTTTATAGGACAATGCATATAAACTTTTTATGAGAAAAAGGAAAATACTTTTATTATTATAAGTGAAGATTATGAAATAAAGGAATTATTATAATGATAAAGTTGTATATAAATTAATTTTTTATATAATATAATATAATATGATATAAAATAAGATAAAATATAAGTATAAATATATAACAAATAAAGTTCATATAATTTGTGAAAGGAATTAAATATATATATATATATATATAATATCAAAAACATATTTATTATGTAAATATTTTACTTTTATTGCATATTTTCTTTATTTAAGAAAATACCTTTGTTTTCATTTGATTAATTAATTCAACCTTTATCCTTTTAATGTTCCTGTTGTATATAACCATTGATCAACATGATATTATAGCAACTTGAATATAAAATAAGTAAAAATGTCCATATATTTTCTTTAGGTTTCAAAAAAAAAAAAAATAAAATAAAATAATCATAGGAATAATAAAAATAATTATTTATTATTATATGGATTATATTATATATAATAATTTAATTATGCTTTTATTTTTTCTCCCTTTTAAAAAGGTACAAAAAGAGTTCAACTTTTTAAATGTATAGAAACAAACAGAATAAAATGAAATATAATAATATAATAATATATATATGTATATATTTTTTATTTTATATTATATTATATAATTTTATCTTGTAAGAAAAAAGGGAAAAAAAAAATAATAAATCGAAAATATTATGATTTTATTTTACATAAATTATTATTTACATATATATATTTAAGAATATACAAATCATTTGCATAATATATAAATAATTATATTATATATATATATATATATATATATTTTTTTTTTTAAATTAAAAAAAAAATGGTGTACATATTATACTTATGAGATTCTGAAATATCCTTTTATTCAACCGTAATCTTCACACCGTACGCCAGCGATCACTAACCCTGCTCTGTTTCCAGCCTGAGGCGGTTCATGATTCATCATTACTTCAACATATTCTCTCTCCAGAAGAACATGTTCAGTAACTGACGTCTTGTGATAGGCGGGAATGTTTAAGATATTGAAAATTCTCAGAAATATTATAGCATCCCATTCCTTTTGCATCGAAATGCAGTCCCAAGAATGTAACAGCTACTGAACTTAAAAAGAACAGTAGCCGGACATTTATAGTATGTACCATATAATATATGGATATGGGTAAATTTTATGTAAATGGTTACTCAAAAATTGAAGAAAGTAATATTATATATATATATATATATATATATATATATATATTTGATTATATATTATATATATGTATTTTTTTTTAATTAATTTCTTTTTAATATGTTAAATCAACTTATTAACAATTCATATATAATTAATTATAAAAAATTAATACAAAATATATTAAAATTATTCTATATTATATGTAATGTTTTTTTTTTTTTTTTTTTCTTTTTTTTTTTAAATATATATATATATATAAGAAAAATAATTCGTTTTATTAAATAATGTAACAAATTTATACAAAACAGTACAATAAAAATAATAAATAAATAAATAAATAAATATATAAATATATATATTTATATATATTTTTATATTGAATCTAATTTGAGAACATAAAAATTATATAAACTATAATTCCTCATTTTAATCATTTTAATTTTATTTTTTTATCACAAGTTTTAACTTAAAAACTTAAAATATTAAAAATATTTTAGTCTTAGAATATTATATATATATATATATATATATATTGAGAAAAAAAAAGAAAAATATGTTTTAAAATAAACCAAAAAATAAAAAAATATAAATTACGTAGGAACAAAATTATAATTGTTATTATACCAAAAAAAAAAAAAAGAAAAAAAATTTTTTTTAATTATAAATTTTATTTCTGTAAAAAAGGGAAAAAATACATATCACATTAATATGTCCATTATAAAAACATCATTACTTTGTTTTCCAAATCTGATATATCATCTAAAATAAAAAAAAAATATATATAAAATAAACATATATATATATATATATATATAATATACATATATATATGTATAATATTTCATGTACATTTTTATAATCATATAAGTAAATTGTCATTTTACCTGTTGGATCACATTTTTCAATTATTTTCCTCTTATTTTTAACAAAATCATCACTTTCGTTATAATTTTCATTATCCCTTTCACTACTTTCCTTATATTCATGATCACTCTTATCTTCATTATCGCTAGAATCAGTATTCTCTGTAGATGATAAATCTTCTTCATGTTTCTTCCTATCTGCAATAAGGTCTCTTTTTTTCCTTAACTTACTAATTTTCATTTTTTCATTATCTCTTTGAATTTTTTCTTTCAAAGATTCAATATACGTTTTTTGATCATACCCATTATTGTTATTATTATTGTTATTATTATCATCATCATTATAATACTGTGTATCTTGTTCCATATCATGGTCTTCATTTTGATTTAATTCATTTACCAAGATTTTAAATTTCACATTATCATCTTTTATTTCATTACCACTATCATCATATAATATGCTATTACTTAACGTTTTAGCGACTTTTACTCTTTTCTTTCTTTTTTTGGTTGGTAACATAATTGGTGTGTCATCTCTTATTTCAACTCTCTTTTGAATAAATAAATCATCTTGATCATTTTGAATATCCGAATGTACAAATGGGTTTTCGTTAGATTGATTTTGATCTATATAACTTATATCCTGCACACTTTTTTTTTTTGCAAACTTATAATTATCTTGTGCTTCATCATATATTTCATGACCTTGTTCATTTTCATATTCATATTCTTTTTCGTCTTGTGTATTATTATATTTTTCTTCTTTTTTTTTTTCTTGGTTTTGTTTATTTTTTAGTGCTTTTTTATTTTTTAAGATTTCTAGGAATTTTTCTAATCTTGATTTTTTTTTCTTCACTTGCACCTCCTTTTCATCAGTTATGTTAAGTTCGTTTATCATGTCTAAAGAAAATTCAATAAGACCATAAGAATATGCTAACTGGTTTAAATCTATTTTTTTTTTTATATCTTTAAATTTCATAACAATATATAAATGTCGCAAATATATGATTAATGCTTTTTTTGCTAAATGTTTAATATCAACAAAAGCAGCATTTAACGAATGTATTTTATTTTTTATATCAAACAATTTCTGTTTTTTTATAAACTTTTCTTTAATAAAAATATTGTTATCTTTAAGAACATTTAAAAATAATTTCTTATTATCAATTTGTTTTGTTAAAAATATAAGACTATTGCCCATATTAGTAAATCTACCTGTTCGACCTGAACGATGAATAAATGTTTCAATATTATCTGGAAAATCAAAATGGATTACCCAATCAATAGATGAAAAATCTAATCCTCTACAAGCAATATCTGTTGTAAATAAACAAACAAATTTTTTCTTTTTTGAAAAGAAGTGATATGTATTTAATCTAGATGTTTGTTTTAATTTACCATGAAGCTGTAAAAATTTCATAACCCCCACTTTAATTTTTTTAAAAACTTCATACATAAATCTTACTTGTTTACATGTAGAAAAAAATACAATAACTTTTTTATTTTTCTTAGAAAATAGAAATGTATACAAATAATTAATTTTTTCATATATATCACATTCAATATAAATTTGTTTCACATTATTACTTTCTATATATTTATCATTATCATTTATACTTACATATTCATAATCTTTTATATGAAAGGTATTTAATATAACATTCAAGAATTTACATATTGTAGCTGAAAATAAACATATCTGACAATTTTCTTTGGGTTTATATAATAATATATTTTTTAAATTATCATAAAAACTTTTATCAATTAATTTATCAATTTCATCAATAATTAATGTACTTAAGTAATCCAAGTTACAATAATAATTATTTTCTAAATGGTATAATAATCTTCCTGTAGTACAAACAATAATATTTGCATAGCTGAAGATAGATTTTTCCTTTTCTTCATTTTTTCCTCCGATTGCACAACATATATTTAATTTATGATATTTATTTAACATATTTAAAACTTCAAATATTTGAAATACTAATTCTCTAGTAGGGGTAATAATTATTCCACCTAATATTTTATTATAATTATCAATACTATTACGATACATTTTTTCAATTAAAGGAATACAAAAACATAAAGTTTTTCCTGTTCCGGTTTGAGCTTGAGCATATATATGTTTATTTAACAAAACTATAGGTAAAGATACATATTGTATATTTGTCATATATATAAAATTATTTTCATTTAATGCTCTTAATGTTCTTTTACTAATTGGTAATGTTTTAAATTCAGAAGATGTCAATACATTTTTATCAATAATTGTTAAATTATTTTTATATTTTTTATTCTTATTATTTTTTAATTCATCTTCATCATATGTATTATTATTTGTCTTATCAGTTTTAAAAAAATTCTTAACATTCTCATTTTTTTCTAAATCATTATTAATTTTCTCTTCATATTGTTTTCTTTTATTTTCTTCTACTATCATACCTAAAGTCTCATCAATTCTTTTTTGTAACTCCAATCTTTCATCTTTATTATTATTATTATTATTACTAACATCCTTTTTCGATTTATCATATCTCTTCTTCTTTTTTCTGATTATACTTCCATAATTTTTATTGTAAATCCTTTTCGTTTTACCAATAATATTTTCTTTATTACTTTTCATCACGTTTATGTTATATTCTATATATTATATTTCCAACTTGTATAAAAAGCAAAAATTAAATCGTATATATGAATTGTACTAAATCATTTAAATGGCATTAACATATAAAATTAAATATATTTAGGAACATTAAATTTATTTTATATATATACATATGTAATATAATATATAAAAAATAATATTCTTTATTTTTGTTTAAAATGATTTAATTAAAGTTGTAAAGTTTTTAAAAAGGAAAAATCATTTTAACTATATTTCTTTTTTTTTTTTTTTTTATTATTTATTCAAATTTTATTTAAATATATATATATATATATATATATATATATATATTATATTATTTTTATATTCCTTATCTTAATTTTGTTTTTCTATACCAAATGATTTGTTGTAATAACATTTCTATAACTTTTTGTATAAATAGCTTTTATTTATATTTTTTAATATGTTGTAAAAAATTAAAAATATATATATATATATATATTTGTTTTTTCTTTATAAATTTAACTTTTTATATAAATATAAATACTTGTAATATATAATATATTATATATATATACATAGTTTTGTATTTATAGTTTTAATTATATGTGAAGTCATTTATTATATATATAATACATATAATACTTATAAATAATTATACAATGAAAAAAAAGAATTATAACCTTCATTCGATTTTCTTAAAATCGAAAAGGAGAAATTTTTTGTTTTCCTATTTTTTCTTTTTAAATATTTATATATTTTTACAGTTTTATATATTTTTTTTTTTTTTTTTCCCTTTTCTCTTTTTTTTTTTTTTTAAAGACTATCTAATAAAAAATTAAAATAAAAAATAAAATGAAATAAAATAAAATAAAATAAAAAAATTAAAAATAGAAAAATTATAATGAAAAAATTATATACATATATATTAAACATACCAATAAAACATATAATATATATATATATATATATAAAACAAAACGAATACCAAAAAGTTTATAAATATAAAAATAAATAAATAAATAAATATATATATATATATATATATATTTTTTAAGACAGTAGTTATTTTAAAAATTGTAATATATATATAAATACATATAATTATTTATTTATATCCATTAATTGTCATAATATTTGACAAAAAGCATTTTTTTGAGCTCGAAAGAATCTGATGTATACATATGAGAAAAGTTTGTATGGTCTATATAATCCAAGTGTAGAGCAGACAATTCATGAAATTTATTTTCATCAATTTTATCAGTAAAAGCATTTAAATGAATAGAATATTTTGGATTAGAAATATTGTTACAATTAAAATAATTAATTTTATCTAATGTTTTAATTTCAATAATATTATCAAGCATTTTTAAATCTATTTCATGCTTAATATCTGTAAAAAATGCATTTCTTTTTACTTTTATCTGTCCTATGACTTTTACATATTGTTCTATACCTTCATAATTTTTAAGACATATA